CATATAGTAAATGGTTCTAGGATAGTTACTTGAAGGGAAAAAATAAGAATAGTATATTATGCCAACTTACTGAGTCTTGACTACCACAACCCTGTAATGGCAGAACAAATCCCCTACCAGACACTATAAGCTAGCAAACAAAAGTTCCAGAGATGGCAATGGACTCCCTCTTTTGAGGTGTTGAGCAGAGGGTGTCCATTGGTACATTAAACAAATTGACTATTGTCATGGATCTTGGCTACTCATCAGAACTTGACAGTAAGACCTTATTTTTGAAGACACTACATATGTGTATTGTAGAACAAACAAGGAGAAATCAAGCTGGTTCTGACCTCAAAGTTTGATCTCTACTGTTTAGCTTTCATAGTACTTGCAGTGCTATGCATGCTACTGAAAGAGAAAATTAGTCATCAGTCTTACCAGCTGTGATTCCCTCAAACTACAACAACTACTCTGACAAGATATGCCTACTAGTGCAATAGTGGCAGGAATATTACAGGAGTAACCAACCACATTCTAACTGAGTTTAATGTCTGCTTCATATGATGGAGCCCATAACCTGACACTGATATCATGCCTAAAAGCTTGAGGACAGACACATCAAAGGCTATAGAGGAGAGCCTAAAGGTATTATTCTGCTAAATAGATATAGTATTAAAGTGACTCCTAATGACTTATACCATCTACAAATATATATAAATAAACTATACAATCTATAATTATATACTTCTATTGTTTTCATTAGTATTCAAATTATCATTTTGATCTTAGAAACAAAGATTCTCTGACTATGGTTTATTTGCACTTGAAAAATAATTTGTAAAGTTTCTTGTTGACAAGGGATGGACTGTCCCCCTCGTGATGTTTTCACTTGATGTCTTTGTCAATAAAGCTACCTATAAAATTTAAGCTTGTTGACTTCTAGACGCCTTTAGATCAGGGATTCTTAAATTTTGTCATTCAAGATCTCATTTCTCCTGAGAAATTTTTAGTATAACTTAAGGCATTTATATATAAGAAATAGGTATGAAAATAAAACATTTACTGATAAAAAAAATCATATGGAAATTTATTTTAGAACAGTTTTGAAATATATATCATAAAATTTTTAAAGATGGAAGAAAATTTGGGTGCTAATATTAGTGCTCTTCCTCATTTTTTCAATTTTAAAAAATTTATTTTTATTTTACGTGTATGAATGTTATGCCTGCATGTGTGCAAGTGCACCTGTGTCATGCACTGCCTGCAGAGGACAAAAGAGTGTATTGGATCCAATGGAACTGGAGTTATGGACAGTCGTTAGCTGCCATGTGTGTGCTGAGAATTGAACCCAGGTCCTCTACAAGAGCAGCTAGTGCATTTAACCACCGAGCCATCTCTCCAGCCCCTAGTCTTGTACAATATTTCCTCCCTCTCTTCTGCAATGGTCCCTGATCCTTGGGTGGGTGAGGTTTAATACAGGAGTCATCACCAAGGACATACTCTCTGCAGTCTCTTATTCTCTAAAATTTATCCAGTTGTGTCCTCCTGTGTGCATCACACTCTGTTGTATGAGAAAGCTTCACTGGTGAGAGTTGAGGGATGCACTAGTGGCCTCCACATACACGTGCATACATGTGCATTCACATATATATAATATAACCATGCACATACCCTCATTCCCATATTCCCCCACAGAAAATCACAGATCCACTTACCTGGGCATAAGCCAAGTTCAGTACAGTTTCAGACGCCAAGTACTGTAACTGGTACTCTTTGGAGAGTGCCAGAGCCTCTAGGAGTACGGGCATCGCAATGGTTGGGGAGGATGATCGCCAGTAGAGCTCTGCCACCGACAGGAGGACACTGACCCCAAAGAAAAAAAACAGGATGAAAATATCCACAACCACATCCCTGCGAGATACACGAGAGACCTCTTACCTGATAACCATTTCTGTGTTCTTTAATTTTTGACAATATGTCAACAATTTCTCTAAAATTTTGTGTGCCGCTTTCATTTGGTTCTGAGCTTGTAGTACAACTGCTTTTCTAAAACAATCAAAATAAACACCAGTAGTTAGTTTGCAAAAAAAAATATTATTTTTATTTTACGTGTATGAATGTTATGCCTGCATGTGTGCAAGTGCACCTGTGTCATGCACTGCCTGCAGAGGACAAAAGAGTGTATTGGATCCAATGGAACTGGAGTTATGGACAGTTGTTAGCTGCCATGTGTGTGCTGAGAATTGAACCCGGGGCCTCTACAAGAGTAGCTAGTGCATTTAACCACTGAGCCATCTCTCCAGCCCGTAGTCTCGTACAATATTTCTACCCTCTCTTCTGCAATGGTCCCTGATCCTTGGGTGGGTGAGGTTTAATAGAGGAGTCATCACCAAGGACATACTCTCTGCAGTCTTTTATTCCCTAAAATTTATCCAGTTGTGTCCTTCTGTGTGCATCATACTCTGTTGTATGAGAAAGCTTCACTGGTGAGAGTTGAAGGATGCACTAGTATTTTCTCTGCTCCCTGTTGTGCTATGTTTCAAAAATCTTAGGTGTAGGGGTTCCACTGTAGATATGTCAACTAAGGCTATCGACAGAGCCTTTGGTTATCTCCTGGAACTCAAAGGCAAGTATACCATACACTATGCTTCAAAGAAGTTTCTTTTTGCAAC